AAATTTAGGTGTTAGGGTTTCTGATTATTTAGGCGATAGAGATAGAGTACTGGAAAAGGTTTTTAATTATTTAATATATATGGATAATAGAAAATTAATACATACACATATATATATATATATATATATATATATATATATATATATATATATATATATATATATATATATATATATATTCTTAATTGGTTAACTGATTATCCATTAAGAAAATTGAATAATCCGCCCCCAAACCGATAAGCCGTTAATAAAAAAATTTCAATTATGTTCCCTGTTCGTTAAACCGTTAACCCGATACCAATAAGCCATTAAGCTTCGGTTTCGGTTCGGTTTTCAGTTTCAGTTCGGTTTTGAACACCCCTAGTCACCACTCCCTAGTGGATGCTAGCATACCTTGATTATTTTCCAACATAGGGTCACCACTCCCTAGTTGATGCAAGCATAACCTGATGATTTTCCAACATAGGGTCCCTATCCCTAGTTCATGCCAGCATAAACTGATGACTTTCCAACATAGGGTCACACTCCCTAGTTGATTGCAGCATAACCTGATGATTTCCAACAGGGTCACCACTCCCTAGTTGATGAAAGCATAACCTGATGACTTTCCAACATAGGTTCTCACTCCCTAGTTGATGCTAATATAACCTGATGACCTTCCAATATAGGGTTCCACTCCCACTGCCTAGTTGATGCCAGCATAACCTGATGATTTTCAAACATAGGGTCACCACTATGGCTGCTTATCGGGCGGTTTGGGCGGTTATTTACTCTTAACAGTTTGTCTTATTGGTTATCGGCTTTTAAATGTATTAATCCGCTAGCCACCCGATAAGATATCTAGCGGATTGGTATCGGTTTAGTTCTTATCGGGCGGTTAACGGGGGGTTCATCGGCCTAATTCAATCTATATTGCGTGCATTAATTGTTCGTTGACCGCCTAGCATACAAATTCAGAATAGGAAATTACAGATGAGTCAATCTGGTCTTTATAATACATCATGAAGTGGGAAATTTATTTTTCAAATTAGTATTATTATTATTATGTTTTTTTGTGCATTAAAAGTTGCTCCTGATTGCTAAATCTTTTTGAACAGACACGTGAATCTACCTTATGGCCTGCTTAAGTGTTTACAAGGTTATTAGTAGGAAGGAAAACCTCAAAACAAAATTTCCACTTTTACTGTTTACTTGCCTTTGTGAAACTTACTTTCTAGAATTGTGTTCTTAAATTCAGACGAATTAAGATATTCAAAAAAGGTCCTCTCTGATCTAGATGTTCAAATAATGCTTCTTTCAAGTTCTCGGCTGGTTGGTAAAACCTATTAGTTGTAAATATTTATCACGAGTCGTGCAGACCAAAAACAAAGAAAGGAAAAAAAATCACGAGTCTCAAGATTCGAGAATGGTTTGCTTTCAGAAGAAAAAGACAAAAAGAGAAGATAGCTCTTGCAAAATTGGAAGATAATACTGAGCTGTAGATGGAATGGATCCACTCAGCTGGAAACTACAAGCTTCAGCAGTACTCTATCGATGAGATAGAGTGATGGAACCTGGAAGTCGATGAGATAGAGTACTGCTGAAGGCTGCTGGTTTAAATTTAGGTGCTAGGGTTTCTGATTATTTAGGCGTTAGAGATAGAGTACTGGAAAAGGTTTTTAATTATTTAAAATATATGGATGATAAAAAATTACTATATATATATATATATATATGTTCTTAATTGGTTAACGGATTATCCGTTAAAGAAAATTGAATAATCCGCCCCCAAACCGATAAGCCATTAATAAAAAAATTTCAATTATGTTCCCCGTCCGTTAAACCGTTAACCCGATACCAATACGCCATTAAGCTTCGGTTTCGGTTCGGTTTTCAGTTTCAGTTCGGTTTTGAACACCCCTAGTCACCACTCCCTAGTGAATGCTAGCATACCTTGATTATTTTCCAACATAGGGTCACCACTCCTTAGTTGATGCGAACATAACCTGATGACTTTCCAACATAGGGTCCCTATCCCTAGTTCATGCCAGCATAAACTGATGAATTTCCAAAATAGGGTCCTACTCCCTAGTTGATTCTAGCATAGCCTGATGATTTTCCAACAGGGTCACCACTCCCTAGTTGATGAAAGCATAAGCTGATGACTTTCCAACATAGGTTCTCACTCCCTAGTTGATGCTAACATAACCTGATGACCTTCCAATATAGGGTCCCACTCCCACTGCCTAGTTGATGCCAGCATAACCTGATGATTTTCAAATACAGGGTCACCACTAGGACTGCTTATTGGGCGGATTGGGCGGTATTTACTCTTAATGGTTTGGCTTATCGGTTATCGGCTTTGAAATGTATTAATCCGCTAGCCACCCGATAAGATATCGAGCGGATTGGTATCGGTTTAACTCTTATCGGGCGGTTAACAGGCGGTTTATCGGCCTAATTCAGTATATATTGCGTGCATTAATTGTTCGCTGACCGCCTAGCATACAAATTTAGAATAGAAAATTATAGATGAGTCAATCTGGTCTTTATAATACATCTTGAAGTGGGAAATTTATTTTTCAAATTAGTATTAATATTATTATGTTTTTTTTTGTGCATTAAAAGTTGCTCCTGATTGCTAAATCTTTGTGAACACACAAGTGAATCCACCTTATGGCCTGCTTCAGTGTTTACAAGGTTATTAGTAAGAAGGAAAATCTCAAAACAAAATTCCCACTTTTACTGTTTACTTGCCTTTGTGAAACTTACTTTTTAGAATTGTGTTCTTAAATTCAGACGAATTAAGATATTCAAAAAAGGTCCTCTCTAATCTAGATGTTCAAATGATGCATCATTCAAGTTCTCAGCTGGTTGGTAAAACCTATTAGTTGTAAATATTTATCACAAGTCGTGCGGACCAAAAAGAAAGAAAGGAAAAAAAGTCACAAGTCTCAAGATTCGAGAATGGTTTGCTTTCAGAAGAAAAAGACAAAAAGAGAAGATAGCTCTTGTAAATTGGAAGATAATACTGAGATGTAGATGGAATGGATCCACTTAGCTGGAAACTACAAGCTTCAGCAGTACTCTATCGATGAGATAGAGTGATGGAACCTGGAAGTCGATGAGATAGAGTACTGCTGAAGGCTGCTGGTTTAAATTTAGGTGTTAGGGTTTCTGATTATTTAGGCGTTAGAGATAGAGTACTGGAAAAGGTTTTTAATTATTTAATAAATATGGACAATAAAAAGTTAATACATACATATATACATATATATATATATATACATATATATATATATATATATTCTTAATTGGTTAACGGATTATCCGTTAAGAAAATTGAATATTCCGCCACAAACCGATAAGCCATTAATAAAAAAAATTCAATTATGTTCCCCGTCCGTTAAACCGTTAACCCGATACCAATAAGCCATTAAACTTTGGTTTCGGTTCGATTTTCAGTTTCAGTTCGGTTTTGAACACCCCTAGTCACCACTCCCTAGTGGATGCTAGCATACCTTGAATATTTTCCAACATAGGGTCACCACTCCCTAGTTGATGCAAGCATAACCTGATGACTTTCTAACATAGGGTCCCTATCCCTAGTTCATGCCAGCATAAACTGATGACTTTCCAACATAGGGTCCCACTCCCTAGTTGATTCCAGCATAACCTGATGATTTTCCAACAGGGTCACCACTCCCTAGTTGATGAAAGCATAACCTGATGACTTTCCAACATAGGTTCTCACTCTCTAGTTGATGCGAACATAACCTGATGACTTTCCAACATAGGGTCTCACTCCCTAGTTGATGCGAGCATAACCTGATGACTTTCCAACATAGGGTCCGACTCCCTAGTTGATGCTAGCATAACCTGATGACTTTCCAACATAGGGTCCCACTCCCATGTTGATGCCAGCATAACCTGATGATTTTCCAATATAGGGTCCCACTTCCTAGTTAATGCCACGATAACATGATGGCATTCCAACATAGGGTCTCACTCCCTAGTTTGCCAGCATAACCTGATGATTTTCAAACATAGGGTCACACCTCCCTAGTGGATGCTAGCACACCCTGATGATTTTTCAACATAGGGTCACCACTCTCTAGTATGCAAGCATAACCTGATGACTTTCCAACATAGGTTCCCACTCTCTAGATGATGCCAGCATAACCTAATGATTTGCTAATTGGAGACTCAAGGTAATCTGCTGGCGTCCGCAGACCTTCTATTTTCCTCTATTTTTACTGTTCCTTTTCGTTCAAAATAATTGCATTTCTTTCAGACTCTATTTGTAGAAAATCCTAGAAACTCGTGAGTTGTGATTTCAGATCCAAATTATAGTAAATATTGTGGGCATTATATTATTCCGCACTCGGTTTTATTTTATTTTTGGCTTAATTGACTTTATTTGTTGAAATTGAATAATAATTGGCTTAACGGTTCTCTAACATTGTGTTGCATAGCAAGTGAAATGTTGGATGCCATCACGGCCCCGAAGGTGGGAATTCTGGGTTGTGACATAAAAATGTACGTTTGCTTCCACGGAAAGGCCCAAGCCTAAGTCACTCCGTTTCCTGGACTGGAAATCCAAAGATACATTTCACACCCTATCATATTTCATATACATAATTTTCTGTTAAAAGCGACGAATGTTGTTGGCAAAGAATTCAGAGTCGCTTATTTAGATAACTTAGCAAATAGATTCCGACAATCTCATCTAAAAAAGAAGCTCTTTCCTCAGAATATATTTCTAGGATCTCTTACCTAAGCCTTATCTGTAAAAATGTCGCAACTAGTGTAGAAGTGAAAGTAGAGATTTCTCTAACCATTTAGGTTAAAGTATACATGCATCCTAGAGGAAGTGATTGAAATATTTGAATATAAAAGGAAAAGGAACACTTAGTATAGTCTTATTGTCTTATTTGTACTAAAAGTTAAAAAAAAATAGAAAGCCCACCGGTCAACTTTCTAGTGAAACAAGGAGCACTTCGACTAAAAAATTTCTCTGCATTATATAGGGATATTAAGGGGTTAGAAACTTTCATATGTAATTGTAGCAATCCCATTGATTTATCAATCTCCATCTCTCTAGCAGAAAACAATACTCTTCCTAGAAAGCACATGAATGCTTTGACCAAAAGGAAGTACAGGCGAAGCATGGCATCTACATGCAAGCAATAACAAAATTCACAGTCTAAGGCTACAACCAGGGTATACCATAGATGATCACCCTTTCAATCCTTCTCTATGATCAAACAACATGTGGAATTTTGTTACATAACCATCCGTCCGTCGATGTTAAAAACCTGTAAAGAAGATAAATACTCTTAATAAGCAGTTGTTTGAACATGAGGTAGCAAGAGAGAAGCTTCAGATTAAAGGTAGATGAAAACATAATACACGGCAATACCTGTCCAGGAATATAGCTGGCTGCAAGATTGAGTGCCAGGATTTCAACAAGTCCAGCAACTTCTTCAGGTTGACCACAACGTCCTATATTTATGAAACCAAAATTAGTCAATGCAGCTATGGTTTAAAGGAAATCTGCTATCATTTTACCTATAAGATATTGGAAACTATATTTCCTAAAAATTATAATTGAAGGAATAGGTAGTCTTACCTGCTTAATAAATGAATTTTTTATAAATAACAAGTATATAGTCTTGGAAATGTTGGATGCAAGTGGAGGAAGGGAAATCTTCCGTATAGCAAGATTCAAATTCTCAGTTGATGGTTTTCAGTTCAGATTTAGTTTTAATTACTTTATTTTCTAGAATCAAAATTATCTATTAATGCACGGGAAATCTGGTTAATGCATCTAGTGTTGTCCTATTCTACTTGGTGTCCTTGTCCTAGAAGTCAACTAGAACTCTCCCTTGTTTTAGATGCAAGAGCAAAGGAACTCGTCATTGTGTTGAGATACAAATGTCAAAAATACTTTTAAAAGGTATCTACCCGACCTTAGGGAACACTTTGCGAAATTTCCTCTTTAGTGTCTTCACTTAGCTTGGCAGACATATCCGATGCAATGAATCTAGGTGCAACATCATTAACCTGTCGAAAGATAAAATTCAACATAAGATACCTAATTACGAGCCATAACAAGTACCCCGGAAAAAAATGGAGCCAAAAGAAAAAAGGCGTCTCAATAAAAGTTGTGGCCTAAAACCAAATTTTAATAAGGGGCCTTAATTGTTTTTGCTTATAGTATTATCTTGCAAAATATAGTATTAATATTACATTGATTTCTTTTTTTCTTTCTTTCTTTTTGTCTATTGAGGAGTTATCTTGTAAAATATAATATTAATATTTACATTGATAAGGAAATTCAAGTTAATAAGATGTTAGCACGGATTTACAATTTACTACATTGGATCTTATTGTAATAAGAAGATGTGAGTATCTTAATTCATAGTTCTAAAATATATTTATTGTTTAAAAATAAATAGTCTTTCTTTCCTTTTTTATAAGTATTTGTATTTGTTTTTTGTTTTTCTATAAACTTAAATATTGTCGAAGCAAAAATAAGATAGTAAATCCACAACTAAAAATATTTTTAGGCCCATAAAATTTAGAGGCCCAAAGCAAAGGCTTTACAGCCTCCCCTCAAGCCACCCCTGCATAAGGGGTCGTTAGTTTGTCCTCGGTTCCTTTATAATATGATTTAAGAAGTCGTTCACTAATATAGCATTAACATAACAGAATGATTAGGAGCACTTACAGTGATATTCCAGCTGGCATATTCCTTTGCAACACTCTTGGTTAAGACAATGACTCCTGTTTTAGCAGTGTCTTGCCAACTAAACCAACCACAGGAAATATGTTGATGATTCTTCCCTACAAAGTATAGACCATGCGTCAACATAAAATTCTGGAGTATATACGGAATAATATAGAAAATGCATTGCATTGTACTGCTTCAATCTTAGTTATCAGTTCTTTTTTCAAAGATCAGAACATATCACTGTATAAGCAGGACACTATATAATGGTGCCAACAATCTCGTCAATTGGCATCTGCCACAACCTGGCCTACTTTAGCTCACTCGATCACTCAATTTGTATGAAAAACACCGGTTCAAATTGATAGAAAAGGTTACTCTCAACAATATAGCAGATGACATAATCTGAGACAATGACATCAGCAACTGAAATCTGTAAAAGGGAATAGGTGAAAATTGTTGAGTTACATCAAAACTGTTTCATTTAAATCAATTTCCAACACAATAAAATATGAATACTCCAGCTGAAAACGACTCGACATCTGATGCTTTTAACAAAATAGGAAGCTAATTGATGTGACAATTTAACTGTAGCAGTACTTTACTTTCAAAGCTAGGTGGGAATAAAATATCTCCCCTTGAGTAATCTGTCATTATCTGCACCGGCCCTTAACCTTCACTAAGATAAAGAAGTACTCAGCCCAAAACCTATAAAATCAATCTAGTGCTAGCATCACAAATTGCCAGCCTATCATTGCATTTCTGATTCTCTTTTGCTTTCTGCTTTGACTAGCAAGTGAGCCCAACAAACTAGGAATGGCAGTCATAATTTTGGTTATTCCGCCAAAGGGAGGAATGACCCCTGTCACACATGGTTTCTAATTGTTCTAGTTATATTTCCATCGCATATGAAGTTTTGGAAAGGACAGTGCAGATGGCCTCAGTGACCACCATGTGGTGTAGACAGTGCCCATAACTGCTGTGGAGTCCATAGATTTATCCCTTCATTACATGTGAAGAATCTCTCGAATAAATAAACAAATACATGCTGCTCGCCTTTATGCAACAGTTCTCAAAAACATGAACCTTTCCAGACAACTATACCTTTTTCTTTTTCTTCATGATTTTAGCTGCAGCCTACAACAAGAAGAAAGATCCCTCATAAGGACATTATCATAAAATATATACAGGTTTTTAGAGGAGGGGTTGGGGAATATAACCAGAACACTAATGAAACACAGCTAATGTACCTGTGTGCAGAGAAATCTAATAAGCAATCAAACAATGGATAGAAGTGTTTTTCAAGTGAGTTGTCAGACATTCTTATATCAAGCCTTCCAGCATATGTTTCTTTGGCACGGGGAAGGACTATGGGCAGAAGCAGACATTCTTTATCTTTGAACGAGTAGAATAAGAGCAAATTTCATTCATCTACAAGGCTAAGATAAACCAAAACAATTGACGATTTCTAGGTTTTCAGGATGGAACTTATAAGTAGAACAGCAAAACCATACACAAAACAGGAACCTAAACACATTCTTGGTAGACAAGGATTAGCCAAGAACAGAAAACATAACCATTTGAAATGAAAAGGTATAAAATATAAGCATTATGACTTTACATATCCATTATCATATATATCCATGACTTAATAAGATGAATGGATCATAAGCTAACACTATTTATGCTATGATGGAGGTGATTTATGTTGCTCGCATATGCAGTTTAAGTATATAAATTTTAGATTAATTGCATTGGAGAACAAGTCTTGCATTGAAAAGTAGTTTGAGTTTTACTTCCAGCTTTCTCAAATGTGTAGCTTCAATATGTAATGAAGCCCTCTTTCACATTATGAAGATCATATTTCACTTTATGTTTTCACAGCTGAAAGGATGCACACGACAAACAAGAAGGCGAACAGCTGGTAGATAAGATTAATGTCCTTGAAAGAAGAGCTCCGACACAACAATTTCAGTATTTGCCCTGGTGTAGCTGATATCACTTGCTTCTATCAGTTAAGCACATTTCCCATTTAGACCAAAAAAGAAAGTAATCACAAGCATAATATGTCATAAGCCAGAGGAACTCTCTAATTTTTGAAAAACTCTACCTACCCTCTCATGAACGGGCAACTACCCTTGTTAAATGAAGATTATTTTGACATATTTGCACTTTCATCATATAAATCTTAAAGAGATATATTAGAAAGTTAGTCATATATAGTAACAATATTTATATAATAATATCACTTGACATAGTTCCTGAGTTAAACCGAGGAATTCCATGTGAGTTGCTCTCACTTTAATTACCAGGCTTTATTACAATGCTTTAATGAAACTCGGGGAGCATGGCCCTGCGCCTCTCAACAAATCAAAATTAGTTGGTTATATGACTAAAATTTAATGATACAACAACTTTAGACTACCTAAAGAGAAATTTCTTCAAGGTACCTTCTAACTATTTTAAGTTGGAGAGGTCCACCTAAAAGTTGAAAATTTGAAGGACAATGTAGATAATCTAGCAAAGTAAAAGCAAAATAAGAAATCACATAGAAGAAGAAGTATTCTGCACGATACAGATACTCTTCCAAACATCAGGCCGAAGTCAGAGATATAGTTCATGTTTCATGTAATTAAAAGATCTTTTCAGTAGGAAATGGAAGGATTAGGGACAACAATCTATACCAGAAAGCAAAAACTGTATTTAATTATTACTGAAAAAAGGAACATATACCTCTTTGGAAACTTCTTCTGCGTCCTTTGAAGATATTGCATAGTTAACTAGGACCTGCGAACAACATTGAACTTTAAACCAAGCAGGTTTGTTGGAGCATGAGAGAATTTTATAAATTGATCAACTTTAATGCCTGTGAATCCACCTAAGTAAGCCATTAAGACTAAGAACACTATTGAAAATTTCAGAGAAAAATTAAATATAAGCATTCAACATTTTTGAAATGCCTGACCACTTCATGTGGTAAAGTAAGCTAAGATTTCTAACTAAATATACTAGATAGATAACCAGGAGACAAAGTACTCAAGCAAGAGGGTAAAAGGTAACACTGACCAACCATCTAAGTTGAGCTAAGAGGAGAGACCCGCTTCCCTTCCTAGTTGGTCCCGAGAAAACTTCTCCTTCTTAGCGGCAATGTTTTCACCCAAAAACAATACAGACAAGTCCAAAGTAAAGTTATTTCACACTTGATGTGACACCTTTCAACTAACTAATTTACTTTTTTGACATCTCAAACTATTCTTTCAGAACTTGTTCTACTCAATACAACTATTTTACTCTAAAGAGGAAAGCAAAGAAAGTTATTGTTATTGGACGGACAGAGTACTTTCACTTGTTTCCCTATTAAACTATTGCCAATGTAAACACAATTAGAGAAACTACCATAGCACATTAAGGCTGAAGCTGTTTGACAGTGAAACCACAGAGGTTGTCATGAAAGAAAATGTTTCATTCACAAAAAGAACTTTTCTTTGGGGTATTTTCTAGCAGTTAACTGACCTTACAACCAGCCTTTCCCAAAGCCAAAGCAATTGCCTTGTCGATTCCTCTGGAAGCTTCCGTGACAATAACGACAGGACCTTCAACAGGTCGAGTATGCTGCTACTTTCGGTATTCCCAGCGCCACGAATGAGTTCTTGATGAAAGGAATTGACACTAGAATGAGTGCTAGTTGGTTGCCTGTTAGTAAGAAACAAGTATTAGAAGAGTTTTGCAAGATTTTAAAGAAAATGTAAGAAATAAAACCTACGCCAATTTCAGAAGTTCCAACTCTCTGACGCGCCGCCAACTGGGTCTCCAATGCGACATCGCGCTTCCTCCGCTTTCCTTACATCCGGTAACACCATTGTTAACATCCGCCCAAAAGCCTTGGTCCCATATATTTTTTTGATTGCAAGAAAATCGGGGATGTCAAAAGGTGAAAAGAAGTGAAAGACACACCGTTCTTTCATACACATCCTCTTTTTTCCTTCGAAAATGTGAAGTGGACAGGCCATGTGTTATGTACTTAATCAAACAATTGGGAATTGGCAAGAAATAGGTAATTTTGCTATGAACTATCAAAGAATTGGCAATTACAACTGAATTGTTGAATTCTGTCTAAAGCTAAATCTCCAGATGTTCCCCGAGAAAGAATAGAGAAGAATGGTAAGAAAGAGAAGAGAAGGGAAGAGAAGAAGAGAGAAGCGGAATTGCTGCCCGAATATTTTGAAAACGATTGCGGAAAAGTCATTTAGCGGTTTTAGAATAGGGAAAATTACACAAATATCCAAATAAGTATCAACTTAGCAACCGCTAGTCATTAGTCATAAATTTACCAAAACTAGCCAATTACATATAAAAATTGAAAAATCAAATAAATAAGGTTTTTTCGCTCAAACAATCACATGCAATAATCACCTTCCATATTTTTAGCAACATTAGATGCAAGACGGAAAGGAAATTTCATGCATCAGATAGCAAATAAAGTGATGAAATAAAAAAAATACAATAATCCAAAAATCTAAGCAAAAAAGAACTTTTTTAATGGGTATAGTTGAAATTCATTGAAAACATATAGATAAGTCAATATACAAAATTTGAGGAAGATTGGAGGTGATTTAGATTGGTTTTGTATCAAAAATATGTAATTAAATCGAGTTCAAAATATTCTTCTGCGACACATGTATCACGCATGTATCTCACACACAAGTATACATGCGATACACAATTGATATAAATATGATACATATGTGATACGCAAATGATACACAGTGTGATAGACATATCATTTTTTTCATGTTCAGTTTTTTACTTTGAATTTTTAATTCAAACCACCTCAAAACTTCACCAAATCATCCCAAAACTGATATTCAAGCTCCTTAAAATGTACCCAATCTATTCTAATAACACACACTCAAAAGAAGCTAAATTTGACATTTTTTGCTACAAATAGCTAATTGGCTAATATTAGTAATATTTGGCTAATATTAATAATATTTTATGAATTGACCAATTTTTGTAATGAGCTACTTATAAGGAGATAGCCGGTAGTTTCCCTTTAGAATAAAATTGAGGGAAATTTCATATGAGGATAACTAGGCTCCATACTTTTCAATTTTATTGCCCATATTTCAATTTACAACCAACTAGCCCAAAAATAATAGGCTAAGATTCAACATACAACTCCAATACGTACTCAAAATTACTATTTAATTTTTAAAAAGATTGCTCAAGATTTAAGTTAATTTTCGAATCAGTAATTGTGACTCAAATATTAGTTCAACAAATCAAATCCATTTGGGTGGTGAAAATTAGATTTTTAACAAGCTTAAATATGTAGGTTTAAATTTCAAATTTGATTTTGTGAGAAATTTGGAGTGTGTGTTACTTAAACTTGTTAGAAATAGTATAAGGAGGTTGTATATAAAATTTGAAGTCATTTAATGGATATTTGGACTGGTTCTGAATAAGAATTGCAACTGAAAAGCGTGGAAGAAGTTAATTTTTAGACGCTTGTATAAATGTGTATAAGATGGGTTTATACACTCATATACACTATTATACAAGATTATAGATAATTATACCAAAAACTGACTTCGTCTTCTTCCTTGCCCTTTTTTGAAATTTTAGCTCAAATCTACTCCAAATCACTTCAAATTTAAATTTTGAACTCCTTTTGATATTTTCAATCAATTGGAACAACACTCAATCCAAACAACTAACAAACTGACTTCGTCTTGTTCCTTGCGTCTTTTCTGAAATTTTAACTCAAATAATCTTTGGTCAAATCTACTCCAAATCACTTCAAATTTAAATTTTGAACTCCTTTTGATATTTTTAATCAATAGGAGCAACACCCAATTCAAACAACTAACAAACTCAAAAAATTCTATTTTCGAAAGCAAAGTTTTGAATGGCCTTCAATGGTGGACTTTACTCTTCAATTTTCTTACATTGCAACCAAGTGACACAGGGGGAGAAGCAGAAAAGACATGGCCTCTTGAAGCATATGTAGAAGATGTGAGAAGAAGAGAGAGTGAATGCAGTGCTTGTGAGAACACAGATTTAACTCAAAGTGAATAAATTAAATTTTCAGAAGTAGGAAAAATCTAAATTATATTTTTTTATATTAAGAGATGATATTTCGTCAAATAGCGAACAAATAAAAAGTCACATGAAAATATAAAAAAAACTATATAATTAGTAATACAATAATGATAAGTTATAATGAACAAAAAAGAGAGAAAAATTATTTATATATTTTTAAGGAAATAATAAATTATGTATATGGGAAATTACATATTCTGAAAAATTATTTATATATTTTTAAGGAAATAATAATTTATATATAGTGGAAATTACATATAACTTCATGTTTGTGTTTGCCGTAAAAATATATCAAACCTAAGAATAGTTATTTGCTCATTGTGATTTGGTCATAGGTCATTGGTTACAAAGTTATAATTTATATGTATATTATATTAAAAGGAGAGTATTTAAACATTATTAAAAGGAGAATCTAGACTATGCAAAGTCATAGGTCATTGGTTACAAAGTCGTTCCCCCTAGGCAATGCAAGCTCCAGCTGCATCATGAGTCGAGTAAGGAACGGTGCCAAGTGGAATCTGTGTAGTGAGAACCCATATAAGGCTTCTAAAGGAGTCGTTTTTTCAGAGCTATGGTGGTTGGTATTGTACCACCATTCCGCTAACGGTAACCATTTGAACCACTGCCTGGTATGAGAGAATACCATAGCTTGTAAATAAGTCTCTAAGCATATGTTCAGTCTTTCAATTTGTCCATCCGATTGGGGATGATAGGCAGTAATCATGTTTAATTTGGTTCTCACAGACTTGAAAAGTTATTGTCGGAATTGGCTGGTGAATATAGAGTCTATTAGTCACCATAGACTTAAATAATCAATGCAATTTATATACCTCTTTATGAAAGACCTCGACCACATATTGAGCAGAGTAAGGGCGTTTAAGAGCGATAAAATGGTCATATTTGGTCAGTCTATCAACCACAAGTAAGATAGCATTCTTATGATTGGAATAAAGTAATCCTTCCACAAAATCCATGGCAATGTCTTGCCAAGGCATACTTGTAATAGGAAGTGGTTATAATAAGCCTGGTGAATGCACATTTTCTGTTTTAATTCTCTGACATGTGTCACATTCTGCTACCCATTTGAAGATATCACTCTTCTTATTAGGCTAAAAGAATACCATCTTAACCTTTTTATAAGTTCATGTTAGCCAGAATAACCTCCAAGTGGAGATTGGTGCAATGCTTCCCATATCTTGGTTCTCAGATTAATGCTGCTGCTCACGTAGATATTTCAGTCATACCTGATAATGCCTTGGTGGAGTGTATGTTTAGATTGGTTATATGGAGCTATTATCAACTCTGTTATCAGTTGTAAGGTTGTAGGGTCATGCTCATAAATCAAAATAACTTCCTGTAACCAAGTAGGTTCATCAGTAGACACAACACACAATGTAGGATAATGTAGGTTCTTCCTCCAATCTTCCTGACAATACATCAGCCACCTTATTTTCACACCCCTTCTTATATTGCACCTCATAGTCTAAGCCTAACAGCTTAGTCGGCCCTTTTATTGTAAGACTGTAGTGACTTCCAACAAGTATTCGAGTCTATGGTGGTCAGTCCTGATTGTGAAATGACCCCCCATTAGATAGTGTCTCCACCTTTCTAGCTTAGGAGCAGGGGTCTTATTGAAAAAGGCTATAGGCATGCCTTCCTACATCAACACTGCACTTATACCCTTAGAACAAGCATCAGTCTCTACTATGAAGGGTTTGGAAAAGTTAGCCAAGGCAAGAACTGGAGCAGTTGTCATGGCCCTTTTCAGTTCTTAAAAAGCTATATCTACTTCTACATATCATTTGAAGGAAATTTTCTTCAATAGGTTGGGCAATGGTTTGAAATCCACCCATAATTTCTCACATACCTCCTATAGTAGCCAGTTAACCCCAAAAAACCCCTCAAATACTTGATTAACTTGCGTGATTCTTCGAGTTAAGAGAGAACCAACCGACCAGGATCAAGATCTTGAAACGAAAACGTAGCTCATGGGCTAATTTCATGAAATAGTGTATCTCAAGTTTTAGGACACAAAATCTGATGATTCAAAAACGAGGTGAACGGTAACGATCTTAACTATAAGAAAGGCTATTTTTTTGCTCGAAATAAGTAAATATTGAGGTTGTACTGGTTCAATGAATGTTCTGATTCTAGGATATTAAACAAATGAATTAATATTAGGAAACATGTTCTTGAATGATCAAGAACTAAAAAGTTTCTAAAATCACCACTTGGATTCAATCAATGTGATAAAGAAACACCACATTCAATTGAAAATAAGATAAAAACTATCACCACTTTGTTGGAACCAAAAACAAGGATAAATAAGACAAAATAGAGAAAAATACCATATTGCAAATTAGGGAAAACCTCTAAAAACGTGAACTCCTTCTACAAGGCATGAGAATCCTTTATGACTAAGGTCTCTTCTTTAATTACTGCAATTCCTATTCTAATAAGAAAATAAAATAGCTAGAGACAAGGAAAGTAAAATCTCTAATCAACAAGGAAAAGAAACTAGAATCCTACTAAATGAAAAATCTTTATTCTAAATGACAGACAATAAAGAAAGTCTAAACCTACGAAGAAAAGGAAACAAGAAATAATTTCTTGTAAAGAAAAAATAAATCATATTTTTAGAACGAAAGAATCTTGGCTTTTTGAAATCAATCTTGAGCTTCTTGGACTTCTTGCGCTTTTTGAGAATAAGTCCATATTTTTGAATTTGAGCTCTGAAACTTGATCTTGGCCAAAATTAGTAAAATTTATCCTAGATTTTTCCTTTTCATCATTGACCTTGGAGTAGGCCAGTACACCATGGATTCAGTCTTAGTAGGACTAGTAGAAACACTTTCACCTATGATGATATGTCCTAGATACTCCACCTCACTATGACAAAAATAACATTTATATCTTTTTATGTAGATTTGTTCCTTTTTGAGGATATCTAACTCCTGACCAAGGTGACCAATATGTTCCTGTACTGAAGCACTATAGACTAGGATATCATAAAAAAAAAACCAACGCAAATTTCCATATGTGATCCCTGAAAACATGATTCTTAAGGCTCTGGAAGCTGGCTAGGGAATTTGTTAAACCA